CCAAGTCATCGCCCTTCAGCATCCTCTCGCTCCTCAAATGTTTGAAGACCAGCGACTCTACCCGTTGTAAGACCTCGGCTATGAGTCTGGATATCAGCGAGCCTACTTGTGTTATCTTCACCTGTTCGTAGATTGTTTCGTCAAACGTGAAGCATGCCCTGAGACAGAAACTGGAGGACTTGGGCGCGTCCTGATGGTTTTTCGTTTCATCGTATTTTCTCCGTTGGAGTAGTTCAACGGCCTTGACTGTCAGATCTTCGGGGATAGAAGTAAAAAGCGACGTGATATCGAAAGGTATCATGACCTCGTTGGACAAAAGGCTTGACACTTTAAGTTCCTCCAAGCATAAACAGGACGTTATTCGACGGTGACACACATCAGATGTCCCAGTTAACACATTTGCGATGCAGAACTCGTCGTTATAAATTATTAACTTACAGGAGCTTTCCCGGTGAAGCCCTTTCTACAGACAAATCGTTTCGAGCTCAATCTAACAGATTATGGAACTGAGAAGAAATAAACTTACTCGTTGGGTCAAAAACTGTATTCGCCTCCTTGCAACTCCAACTCTTAGCAGTGCGAGACAGCGACCAGCGGCCTCCGTGTCGCTTTTGATGTATGCAGTAGCTCACCAAAATGTGCGTTCGTCGCGATTTCGTCGCTCGTCTTGTTTGCGTATGCACCGATTGACAAAGTTGTGCGGGTAGCCATTTTTCTCTGAGTGATCGTCGAATAGAATGCTGTTTGGCAAAATTTTCCTATGGCTCATTGCAGTGCATCTCATCACGCTGATATAGAGCCATTGCGCAACTGTTTTTGGCTGTTGAATTTTAGCACTTGCGTCGTAGTTGTCGCTTTCCTGAATACTGTCGCCTTTCGGCCTATGTAATCATTGCGACAGACGAGGACACTAAGGAAGACCATCTGCTTGCTTTCTTCCTCCTCCATCGTAAACTGCATGTTCGACAAGACGCTGTTGAATCGTTATTTGAACGTGAGTAGCTGATCTCGTTCGATGACTGCAAAAGTATCATCTTCACACCGAACCCAGAGTTTCGTTCTGTGGTGTTGGAAGACCAGCGACTCTACGTGTTGTAGGACTGCCTCGGATATGAGTTCGGAAATCAGCGAACCAACTGGTGTTCTCTTCACCTGCTCGTAGATTGTTCCGTCAAGCGTGAAGTATGTCCTGAGACAGAAGCTGAAGGACTTGGGCGCGTCCAAGATGATTCTTCGTTTCATCGTAGTTTCTTCGTAGGAGTCGTTCAATGGTCTTGACTGCCAGATCTTGGGGGATAGAAGAGGAATGTGGCATGGGAAGGTACAATGACTTCGTTGGGTAGAAGACTTATCAGTTTAAATTTCTCCAAGCTCTGTTTTGATAAACAGGCTGTGGGGTCCGAATCAGCAGCCAGAAATTATAGACGCCGAATCAGCCACTTTGCCAGTCCGTTGATTGGAGTGCCTTTGAAGAATACGATGGGTCAGAGAGAAGCACCCTCCTTGTGCACCTGGGGAAGGCCATAGAACCAGGTCAAGGCCGTTTCTTGGCTTTTCGGCATGCGTCGGTCGGCGTTATTGCACGCGATTTATCCGGTGTCCCGAAGGCCTACCTTCCGTTTCAGTTTATTTGGTGAGGATAATAGGCAATGCCTTTGAAAACCTTATTCATTACGTGTACAGCACCTATAAAAAATTACCACTACCAACATAGTATTGGCAAACAGTAAGTAGCATTGCTTTTTACAATCTATGTCTGGTTTTTAGAATTCAGACTGGGAGGGAAGGGACGGGGCACATTTAATTATCCAAGCGTTCTTTGTACATCTGAAGGGAAGTGGCCTCCACGACTGACTGTGGAAGGTTGTTC